TGGCCTGATACTGCATTATTGCATCATTATTGGGGTTCCTGACATAATGCAAATGATCTCCCACTGAATGGAGGCTCAGATTAGAATCTACCTGTGAAACTACTATAGTTTGTTCTGTCCTATGAGAGGAAATATTGGAGTGGAGGAGGCAGACAGAGGCAAGGCAGAGAGACTAAAGACTGCTGCAAGCTTTAAACAAAGTTTTGGCAGCAATGAATAACTCCTTCCCTTTAGTCAAACATTCTCAAACCAACACTATAAAGGCTATGCATACACTTGATGCCAACCTCACAGACTCAGGGGGCACAGAGAAACCCTTTAGTAGTGCGCTGCTGGTGAAATCACATTTTTCACAAGTAGGGTAAAAAGGAGCTTGTGAAGGAGGACAGAGGCTGCTCCAGGTTTAAAAAGACAGGACTGGATTTGTATCTCATATTTCCATGCTTGATGGCCACAAAGAAGGAATGTAATTCTAGGATCCTAAAGGTACTAGTATATGTAAATGTAATGCATCACTTTAAAAAGCTATTAACAAATTACAAAAAAGTAAACAATCGAAAAACTACTCGAATGGCTATAGAGTCTGATGAAAAGTAAAACCCTAAACAGTAAATTTTCCCAAGTTGAAAAAGTCTTTTAATTAGTATGCATATCTGAGAAAAGTGAAGCTAGCGTTTAGTAGAACTGAGCATAACCATGCTATGTTTTCCTTTTAGAATACATACAAAAATTACAACAGAAAAACCTGTATCTGAATTTACAATCAGTAATATTACAATCTCTGTATTAAGTGAAAAATAAATAAACGTTAAGAGATGTAAACGTGATGCAGAAGGATCGAGTTTGGATTCTAACCTTAGATTGGGTGAGGGGCCATCGATGTGGTCGAAGCCCGTTTCACAGGTGCTGTCTGAGCTACTAGAGGAAGGTGACAAGGAACGCATCTCCTTCTCCTCCAGCTGCACGTCTGGCTTCCCTTGGATTTCATCCTCTGAGTTCTCCTCTGACACTGATCCCACAATGAAGTGAGAGTGCAATGCCGCAACAGCAGGGCTCTTCTTGGCAGCAGCGTTCTGTTGTGCCATGGTTGGGCGACACGAACAGGCTGCAAACACTGACAAGAAATAGAACAGAGGGGAAAGCAGTTATAAAGGAGATACAGAGTCCAAATACCAGGGTACAAAGAGACGTGAGATTAGTTTGGCTAGTATGTGGTTCTGTTTGACATATTGCAAAAGTGGGTTACATAAACCAAAGTATCTTATCAAAGCAACTGATTTTGCAACACGTGCATTTGGATGAAATAATGACATCTGTATGTAAGGCTGCTCATACTGTCAGAGTTGGAAAGTAACTAAGTACAATTATTCAAGTAGTGTAGTTAAGTTCAACTTTAAGATATCAGTACTTTACTTGACCACTATGATTTTCTGCTACTTCATACATCAACTTCATTACATTTTAAAGGCTAATATTGCACTTTTTACTCCACTATATTTATATGATATATTTAGTTACTAGTTACTTTTCAGAACCAGAATAATAAAACAAAATACATTACAATCACAAACTTTAGTGATCCTCAGTGGGAAATGCACAAGCTACCTGACAATAATTCATATTTTATAAACATTTAAGGTAGTAAACATTTGCTTTACCTTTAAAAGGTGCCACATAAATGTGGCATACACAATAATTATAATCCATTAATATGGTATATATTAATGTGAAATGTCCAATTTTGCATAATGGGTACTTTTACTTTTGGTACTTTAAATATATTTTGATTCTAATCATTTTACTTAACTAACATTTTGAATGCAGGCCTTTTATTGGCAACAGAGTACTTTTACACTGCGGTACTGCAAGTTTTACTTGAAATCTGAGTACTTCCACTACTGCATAATGTTACCTTTTCAGCCTTAAATAACTGCAAACCCATGAAAAAGCAAAGCTTATTTGCCAAAACACATAGTGTCAGAGTAGTACTCTATAAAACGTTCATAAACATCTTAAACGCAATTAGAGGTCCTGTTGCCATGTGACAAACTTTGAGGGTGCCTGCCACCTAAAAATGCTAACAAAATACCTTGTACCCTGTGTAAAGGTCAAAACAGTTAGACAACCTCAAATGCTGCATAAACTAATTTCAAAGCACAGTCTACTGAAAAGACCAACATCACTTATTTTAATACTGGAGAGCTTTATTTTCTCCTCCAGCAGCAAAATGTACGGTATTCATTAACGGCACCCTGGTGGCTTAACTACAACTGCCCTACTGTCTTCTTTTCTTCTACTTACTCCTGCGAGGAGAAAGAAACCTCTCAGGTATGGCACACCTTACCTATCGATAGCTGCTTGCGGGACCAGAAAAACAAGCCCAGCAGTGCAGCCAGACACAATGCTAATGTGAGCCAGGGAAACATCACAAACGTATATTGACAACTGCATTAAACATTAGCTTGCAGCCAGCAGACAAAAACGTGTGCTGCAAGCCATCTAATGTAATGACATACCTGGTGAACTGTTAGCATTAAGTCAACATTACCTAGTTTGACGTTAATTGTCAGGTCAAAGCTAGCTTACTAAACAGCAGCCGCAGATGCTACTAACAGAGATAGAGATGTTGGCTAGCTTAATTATCATGACACGGTAATGGCACTAATACAGTATTGCTGACTGCACTGCCGTAAGAGCGCCCGGTGTACTGCACGTTACAGCAGTGTGGTCGAAATCTTGTCAACGCAACTAATGACAGAGACTAGTAACACAAACACCACAGCTAGCAACTCACCGGTGGAGATGAACTGACACGTAATTATGGCAAAGTTCAACCGGAGAGGTCGATAAGGTAATTATGTCTGTCAGACATCTCCGTTTGCAGTGATGAGTTTAAAAAAAAAAAAAAATCACATCATGATGAGAGCCTCATCATGAGGTCACAGCTCCAATAGACGCTTAAACAGCAGAGAGTGGTGTGATATGATGATGCGCGAGCAGGTTACTCCTGGACATTAACCTCTGACCTTAGCTTCCGCTATAGAAATAGATTGGGAAGAACAGACTTCATATCCAAGCTGGCGCACCTAAGATAGCCGCAACAATTGGTGATTGGTCAAATTGTGCTATCTTGTTGAATATGCTAACTTACTAGCAGAGTCTATGGATTCACTAACCCCGCCTCCATCCCTCACGCTAACACTTATCCACTTTGTCAGTGTTTGTGAGTGTTAATAGCTCGTCTCGATGAGTAGCCTACCTTGACAGAACACCTGCATGTGAAAAATTAAATAAAGGCTGTATCTGAAGCAGAGTTAAAATGTTCATGTTCCTAATCCTTCATAGAACGTTCTTTTTAACTAAATTAAAACATCAAATGAGCAGCTAAACCAATGAAAGGCACCTGGCTCCAGATAAATAATCATTTTAAATAAACAAAGAAAACGAGATTAAAATAAAATAAACATGAGAAAATTGTGCAACACTGTGTAAAATGTAAAAGGGCATAGTTTTGAATCAACTGTAACCAATATATAATTTGTTCTGGGTAGACCAGATAGGATAGAATTACAATAGTCCATATAATGAACATTAAAGCATTCAACAGTCTCTGTATTATTCATAGTGAGAAATTGCTGCACTTTAGCAATATTTTTCAGAGGATAAGGAGCACATTTCGTGACAAACCCCACATGACTCTTAGAATGTTTATTCTAAGAGTTTCTGGCCTGCTGGGGTACGTGCAGGGGAATTTATTTAGTTTCTTTCTCTGAACCATTAGACCGTCCCTGGTAGGCTAGTGGTTGTCCGGGTTCGAATCAGGGTTGCGTCACGAAGGGCATCCGGCGTAAAACATGTGCCAAATGTCAACATGCGAGTCGTCAGTGTGACGATTCGCTGTGGCGACCCCTAAACGGGAAAAGCCGAGAATGACTTTCTTTCTTTCTCTGAGCCATTAAATATAACTAAAATTTCGGTTTTATCTGACAGTAATAATCACCTTTATTTGGCCAAGCATGTCACACACACAATGAATTTGTTTCCGGTACAGAACCGAGTCAGCCCTCTGCGGCACTAACTCAACTGATGGCTCTAACCATCAGGGGCTCAGTGTCTTGCCCAAAGACATATAGACCAAAGACATTTAGACGTGGACACATTTAGACGTGGACTGCAAAGACATTTAGACGTGGACTGCAGCCACTGTGATTCTAACCTCCAACCCTCCCTACGCACTTACCCACAGTCACTCCAATAAGACAAAACAATCGCAACTATTCGACAAGGCATTTTCATTGCATGTATTTAATTAGAAAATAAAGCTTGGTAGCTCAGTATTAAAGATGATACTTTATTCCAATTTTTTTGTTTTATTTCTTCTTTCTGAGTTTTTGCGATTGTTATAACTGTAATAAGTAGCCTACAACATTTCCCATTAGTCCCTATTTCATAATGAGGCTACTCTTTTTTCTGAAACTGTGTAAATCTAATGCATTCACGGCATCATCAATTGTTACCTGAAAGAATAAGGTTACATTTCGAGTGTACTGACTGTAAAGATTCACAGTCCTGTAAATACATATGATCTATTTCACCTAGTTCTAGGAAGGTCGTATTCGCAAAGGACCAATGAGATTCCAGAGGGTTTTTGTGGGCGGGTTGAGTTCTATGAAGAGCTTGTACTGGAAGAGGTGGTTCTTCGGCTATCCATGCTTCAGTGTGGAAATTATGTCTTGTTTTCCGCGTAATTAGTTAGATGTCTAGATAAAGACTTTAGTTTGCATGTTTTGTGAAATAAACGTTTAACAGTTGTAAACACACCAGGCTTACACAATAGGCTATTTAACAATTATAAGACCGCTGAAGATATAGTTTAGGTTTTTTTTCATGCCATTATGATATAAAGCAGTCAGGTGGCACTTAGTGAATGCAGTTTATCGCTTCGATTCTACCTTGTTTTAATGTTAAAAAACAAAGAATGTGAAATACTTTGCATTTGCATCGGCTGCATTAGTACATGTAGAACAGTGAGATAATTCAACATTAAATACTGAATTACAGACTTGCCTTTGTTATATAACTTAGCCTCACTGATATAACAGGTGTTTACCTGTCAGTATAATACAGTTAAAGAGCAGCACAAACTACATCTACCAAAATTATCATAAAGTTGCATCAAGACCTTTCTAATACAGTTTCAATAAAAAACAGAACACTATCACCTTCATGAAGGAGGATTGTGGCACTAATTACTGGCAGAGCTGCCAGTAATTCCGGTGAATGTTTGAGATTCACCTCAACATTTTGAGTAAGTACAGACCTGTAGTTACCTGTCACGGCAAGCAAACCTACATAACGCAAGCATATGTGCATAAAAAGTACATGTCTACAGAAAAATTTTATTTAGCTGTGGAACAGATGTTGCATTGATGTAGATCTTCTGTTTTTCAGACCGGGATGAGATTACACCAGTGGCAAGATCTCATGTTGCTGGTGAATCTGCACAAATTAAGTGTCCATATCCCAAGAGCTCTGAGAGCACTGATAGGTTCCTGTGCAATGGGGAGAATCCTTTCAAATGTGAAGCGCTAATACATACAACAGAACTGGACAGAGAAGGGGTTAATGGCAAGTTTTCTATAAGTCAGGACAAAGGAAACCAACACTTTTTTGTGCACATCAAAAATCTGAGCACAGATGACTCTGGGATTTATTGGTGTGGCTCTGATAGAACAAGGCTGCAAGACAAATACACCAAATTCCACCTTTCTGTAGGTGAGTACACTGAGAGCTCTAGTATTATATTCCACTGTACTGTATAACACAAACATACTATGATTAAACCTAATATGTTTATTAAAGCTTCGAAAATGAAGTGCAGTCCAAGTATTGATAGGTACAGTTACTAGTTATTTTTCATATTGAGATTTAATACATGAAAGGTCAGGTTACATTATTTTACAACTGGGTAAGTAGTTAAAGCTGTCTTTCCACCAACTGCAGCATTAAAGTAGCAGTCCTTCAGATTTCAGTCCAGGTTGATTTGGCGACATCAGTGGTTACCATGGTATTTTACACTCCAGTCAAGCAAACTTACACAGTATGTATGTGTACAAAGGCAATTTGAGTCCAGGGAATGGTGGACTTAACACTGAAAAGGCCTATATAGAGGAACTCACATAAATGACATACAGTAAATGGAGTTTGGCATCATCAAGACTTTAAAATTCTGCTTCATGTTAATACATCAGTAAAACAAAATGCAATGTATTCATCAATGTCATTGACATGGGCTGTTTCACTCAATTCCACTACAGTATTTGTACTTTATACATCTACTGCATACTTTTGATAGTTTAAAACCTTTTTTTTTTATTTTCATGGCACACTGGCATCTACCATACATTGGACTATGTAACTTTAAAAATTTGGATGCATGGCTTTCAGGCCCTCCAGCTCTGCAGGCAGTGGCAACACAAAGCTCTAGTCTGGCGGGCCCCCATGATGATCCTCAGACTTCGATAACTTCAGACAACTGCTGTTCATACCTGCCTATATGTACAATCACGTCTGCAGCACAAAAACACATATCCTCTCCTTTGTGCATGAATTCTGAGGACAGAGATAGTCTGATGATGGCCTGCGTTCTTTCACTGTTTCTACTGTTGTCCCTCAGATATAATGAGGATTGTCATTGCATTATGTCTGGGATTGTTAGTGTAATACCCCAGTTCTTTTATTGGACAGATCTGAGTAAGGAAGGAGTCCATCTTTCTTGATTTTAGTGCTGGTTTATTTAAAAAGCCACAGGTTTAAAGTCACAAAAGCACAACCCGGGTGGCTCCCTCCGTCAGACAAGCTGCTGGAAAAGAGAGCTCCCTGGAACACAGAGCCTAATACATTTATACGATTTCTTGGGCTAACCCTTTACGCAAATGGATATAGAATCATCACTAGTTGGAGACAGTCTGACGTCTCCTTCTCTTATCTTATGCTCCACATGTGTCAAGCATTAATCAGAACAAATGAAGAACTCCATGTGCGTGTATGTTGTTACATGGTGTGTAACTAAAACAATCATTCAGACATAAATCTAACACAAGATTAATACAAGAAAACAATTGACATCAAGATACACTTTACAGATTTAACGTTATCTTCTAACTTTGAAGCAAAGCACACTAGAGCAGACTTTGAATCTTACTAACTGCATTAATAACACATTAATGTCTATAATTATCTGACTGAATTATTAATTTCTAACATTAGTGATAGCTTTGGTTTTACTACTGCTACTGTACAGATACAAAATCCCATGGACACAAGGTGAGGGATGGAAACCTGGCACAAATGCTAGCCTGCAAGGAGTGAGGAGTAACTACAAGTAGCGAGAAAAAATATCTTACTGTTTCCATCTATTCATATGTTGTTTGTCCTTTGTGTTGTGTTGCTGGGGGCTCATCAGGGAAGACCACAACTGCTGCCCATAACACAGAGGTGTGTGTGGGTTTGCACATGTGAGCAACAACTGCATTTATCTGACTACTGCCCTTTCCTTCTGCAGGAAAATCCTGAAGATCATCCCAATGAGGAGATGCAGGAGTTGAACATGCAGATGAGCTCAGGGGATGCGCTGCCGTCCATTTATGCCATCATCAACCTTCCTGCAGACCCGCTTCACTATGTCAGCATCAGTCTGCAGAAGGAAGGAAACACAGTTTCTGACACAAAAGCAAAAAACAATAATATAAGGCCTCAAATGCCAAATGGATGTTAAACACTTTAACGCTATTATGTGATCATTGTTACATATTGCCATCTCTGACACACAAAAGAAAAACTTGCCTAAAAGTTAAATCTATAATTCTTCAGTTGTCTAATGATAGCAGTGCTATCTAAAACCACAGAATCCATAAGGTTAAAAAGATGACAAACTAATGGCCTCTCAAGCCATCTAGTGGATCACAACTGTAATAACATTGCATTTTTTACCTTATAGATATGCTGTATAGC